ACGGCGAGGTGCGAAGCGGTGATCAACGCCGCAGGTGGCCATACAAAGTATTAATAATCATATATACGGCAGAATTCAAAGGATTCAAATCCCTGCACCTCCCCACCGTACTAACAAAATCACCAGGGTCAACCGGAGTAGTTAGAATGGAATACATTGTGACTAATCAGCAGATGTCCACTCACAGAAAGCCAGGGGACAGTATCGGAAAGTACATAGCCTGGAGTAGTTAAATGTGACCCAGGAAACAGGCCCAACGCAGCGCTGTTAGTGCTGCTAGCGGCCTGGCGCTCCTCTCGCTAGTGTGGAAATTGTCACAACATGACATTCCAGGCTAAACCTAGTGTTAACTTATTGTTGCCACTTGTGATTCTACTCCAATGCTGTTGTCCCTTCTGAAGGGTCGCGGGTCGGCATCCAGCAGAATCTCTTTAGCGCTGCTTGGAAAGATTATCATTACGCTCAAGTTGTTTCTCCGACGAAGGGCTGTTGTTTCCTGCAACAAGTGGTGTGGTCGCAAGGAGACAGGCAAAGGGTTTGGAGAATAGGACCCCTGCCTCAAAAACCCTGAAAGCTTGGCAGAAGTGGGTGAAGGAATTCCCGCCGCTTTCTTAGTCCCTCGTTCATTTTACGACTTGATAATGATAACGAGTGGTCCCCCCTTCGGCGTGCAACGGCAACCTACGGAACCGAATACGAGAAATTTCTTTTCAAGCCGAAAAGTCAGTGCTGGACTCACTCCGCCGCCTGACTCGAACTCGCCGTTTGGGGAGTGGAAGGGCGATGCTGCGATATGACGTCTCCCTGGGTCGGTCGTCGGTCAATAAGCAGTACTCCGAACCCACGCGTTTAGCTGCCCTCTGCTCTTTGTGTGTACAGTACACTGTGGTTTAACGTACTCCGTTCCGTAGAGACCGTCTCTTTTTCCTGGAGATGCTGTACTAATTGGGCGATGGCGACAAGCTGGAAAAAGTGGTCAGGGGAAAGGGGCCCAACTCATACCGGTACCACCTTTGCTCGATATTTCGACCCGCAAGTCACTGGAGTGCTGTGAAGAGAAGAGAAAAAGGTCGTCTCCCGGCTGAGACCTCCCTAACTAGTTGTGAGGTATGAAGTCATGTCTTGGATCACCTGTTGTCCAGTGTGTCAGTTTCCAAGGAGGTGCTCGGCTACACAAAGAATGCCGGGTTGCTGCCTAGCACAGCTGGAAATACCGGAAGTCGAAGGAATGGAAAGGGAATACTGGAAGGAAAGGAGATTCAGGTTCTCTTGAGTGCTGAGTCCTGACCGACAGGGTCCCTTTCCCCCAAAAGGCTCGGCTTTCTGGTTCTTTTCCTATTCCGGGTCTTGGCTATGCGCATTCAGGCAGATTAGACCCAGATTAATATCCGATGATGTCCACACCTGCCTCAATCTGAACAACGCGAGGCTTGGGGTTGGTCGACTCTGTATGAGTGGTTTGAGCCTTGCGTCATTGGCCAAAACATCGATTCGAGGGCATTGGATGTGTATCGTCCTGTAGACTCAATATGTACTGCACTGATTCTTGCCATTCCCCTGATGATAGCTACTTACGGAGTACGAGTCTCGATTTGACGTGTCCACCCACTGATCTCTATCGATGTTTCTCCCTTTCACCTTATCAAGCCCTTATCAAAACTCTCCCGACTACCCGCGTCTGCTCCTCTCCTTTATAATTCATAATTCATCATGATCTCTCGAGAGCAGACTCATTCAGTCTTCTCCACGTAAAGCTGAGACAGGGTCTCGAGATTCCTGAAGAGCCTCTGCGCGGGACTTGATGATCGACGCAGACTCTTTGATCGACCGAGCCAATCGGCGCATCCTTTCCAGCTCGCGATTTGTGTTGGCCTCTGCCACGGCCACAATCTTGCGGATGGTCTCAACCTCCGCGGCCTCCATGTCGGTCAGTCCGCGAAAGTGCGCCTGTCTCTGCTGCTCGAGGCTCTGCTTGCAATGGGAGATCCTGGCTACCGCCTTCACCAGGGGCAATGTTGCCGGCATACGCGAGGTCAGCCATGCAGCGTTCTCCGGCGTAGCGCCCTGATGATCAAAGACCACATCCATGGCCGCCGCCCGCTTCGTGAGCTTCTTTAGACTATGCGTGCCTTGAGGGACCGGCGCCACATTCGCGATCCAGTCGAAGCTCGGGAGCAGGCTTCCTTCGACGTTGGGATTTGTTTTCCTTGCCTTCCATGCCTCATAGAGGAGGATCTCGTTGGGTGACATCTGTTCCTTGGCCAGGGTTTCCGGATCTCGGGTGGGTAGCGCGACAAGCTTCAGCCCGGTGAATAATGCTAGACTATTGCCCTGCGTGACCACTTCGGCGAGGTCTTGCAGCTTCTTCAACGTCTCCTCGAGATCATCGGTCGTAGTGGGTATAGGGAGAGATCTCAGGCTCCGGCTTAATTGCGAGAGCTGCGCTGAATCCATTGTGAAAGAAGATGGTTGGTTGCTTTCACCTCCCAACTAGTAGTTGATTCGTTGGTTTGCTCCTTGGGAGTATGCAGCTGATGCTTTAGGTATCGTCTCGGTATCCCTTGGCTAGGGAGAATGTGGTAACTAGGTACAGCAGACGGAACTGATCGGAAGGTGTTTCGTAATCTATTCAACTGAGGCCTCGGTGACAGTTTCATGAATGGCTGCCTGTAGGCACCAAGTTCCTTCCTTTGGTTCTGTCACGTAAATAATAAACTACCTTGGCGTCACAATAAAAGCAGGCATTCTGCTCAACACGGTCACGTGCAAGGGCGATTGTTGCAAGAGAACCATCACAAGCTAGGATTCAAGGCTTAGAGAGAACGACGTTGTAAAATCTCGCCTTGTGTACACTTCCTACATCTCGATCTCAAGAAAATACTCCCCAGACGCCAGGAGCGCCGACAGTCAGTGCAGCCACAACCAGCACCACCATTACCACCTCACCTACCACCACCTTCAACCATAAGACCTGAGCCTATATGCTTTATATGCAAAGCACTCAGCTCTCAACCAGCCTATAAATCAACCGCGCCAGCCTGTACCTACCAGTGTTGTCGGTCAGCACAGCGCGGCGGGAATACAACCTCTCGCCATGTATCATCTCAAACCCCCAAACCTATCCCCCACAACCATCAGCCATGAGTCCTCAGCCCCATCGTCTCCCACGCCGCAGAGCTGTATCCCCAGAGATAAGGGGAACATAAGATCAGACATACCTGCTCAGAGCACCACCCGCCACCCTTCTTCCGATCAAAAACATGCCCCCAAATTCCCACCCCCCCGTCGCCCTGACCTTCCTCCCCTCCATCTTCCCCTCCATCCTCCCCAAACAACCCCCTAACCACAGGCTCCTCCACAAGGAACCCCTCCGAGAGCGTGCATCCATCAACCTCCACCTCCCCCCGCAAGAACCTCCTCACAACCGCCTGATCCCCGCCATCTTTCAGCGGACTCTGCACCTCCACTGCAGGCCTAACCACCCCATCATCACCACCACCATCACTTCCTCCTGCGTCCATGAGGGCAGCTACCGAGGAATCCCCCCTGATAAACCGATTCCGACACACAATCCCCCCGAACAAAAAATTCTCCTGCGAGTAGATCTCCCAGTCGAAGTGCCGGATATCCGGTGGCGGGCTGGCGGCTTTGATGCTGGTTTGGCGGGCGGTGAGGTGGATTGTTTTGCTACCGTCCGCGTTGTTTGTGGTAGTGGTGTGGGTGATTTGGATGGTAAGCGGGGTGTAGAGGATGGTCTTGCGGAGGAGCCAGGGGATGCCTTGCTTTTTTTTTGTTATCCCGTGGGGTTAGGGTTGTGGCTTTGCTTTGGGATTCAGAGGTTGCGTACTAGTTTGAGGATTGGGTCTAGATCGCTGGAGAGGGATTTGTCCTGGTAATTCGGTTACTTCCCCCCGTGCTCTCCGTGGAGGGTTCCGGGGGGTTTAGTTGGTTAGTTTCAAGGGCAGATATCTGGTTAGGAGTTGGGGAGCAAAGGGGAATTGAGCACTTGCTAGGGTCCAGCTGCCGGTTAGGTTGTCGATTGTTGGGGGCATTGGGCTCTGAGTTTTGGGTGATTGATGTGGGTTTGGGTTTTGGTGAGAGGACTGTGCTTGTGTTCGTAAAGTTGAGGCGAGGAGGGGAGGCGGTTTATACTGAGGGTGGGTGGTGGGAATCGAGTGGGTGTACTGTTCAGCATACTGGGGTGGGCTGTATGTTGCACGAGTGGCTATGCTTCGCGTTGGGCAGTCCGCTGCTATACTCCGGACTCCGAGTGAGAATTGGGCTGCTGTTGCTGGGGTGGATGGTGATGAGAGCGTTGCACCGCTCGGCCACAAGAATATCAAAACACTGATCTAGCGGATTGTTCGCTTTAAAGGAACCTGAATCCTGTCAGATGGCCTGCATAGGAAAGTAGGGAGTGGGAGGTAAAGCTGATCGAGGCTGGATTGACTTGATGGTTTGGCGGTCGGTTCATGCTTCATAATCATCACGGCAGACTGTGGCTCGAGTCAGTGACCCGAGCTGGATTGAGTAGTAGGTCAGCTTCAATGACAATTCTCGCTCACCCTTCGAATGGGGGGTGGAAAGTGATGACGCCTGCGAGGGAGGTGGAAGATGCTTGGATTCTTCTACGTGAGGCTATCTGCGGAACTAGTCAAGGACCACCGAGGTAAACGGTAAGTAAGCAGCCTGGCAACTCCGTCAGAAAGTCTAGTTGGAGATCGACGAGCGTCCAGATGCTGCTGGGTAAAGGGCCCTGCGGTGGGCGGTTCCTGGGGGCCTTGTCAAATGCGTAGAACTACTCATGTACAGTTAGTTCGACCTGGAGCTTATCGCGAAGAATGACTCAAAGTTTATCAATATTGTACAAAATGTCTCTGGTGTAATCGTTTCCTAGTATACACAGCACTTTTTCCCGTGTGCTTTCCGTGTTCTTTTCCCTTCCAACAACGTGCTCGAATATGCTGGTGCAAAGAATAATCATGTGGGAGAGTGTCCTGGTAGTTGATATCAGTAAGAAAATAGAAACAGAAACCCAAACGCCATAGCTCCACGCTGGAATGTCGAAAATATGTTTCTTGGAAGCGAATCGTCTTCACCCAACACTCAGACGCTTTGAAGTCAATGTTCATCATCTTCCCCGTTACCTCTGAGCCAAACGCGCTTCCACGGACCCTCCGGCCCGACAATGGCTTCCCGATCCTGGCGCATGCCCTCGAGGACACCGACAATGCCACCGCTGCGCAGACGTTCCAGGACGACATTCATGCCTTGTTTACTCTTGAGGATAGCGTCCCGGGTACGATTCAAGCCGATTAACTCAATCGTGCGCTGGATGCCTGCCGTGGATAGTGACGTGAAGAAGCCTCTCTTGGGAGCCTCATCCTCGACCTCGACCACTTGATCACCGGCTTCTGCCTTTCTCCGGCCAAGTAACTTTCCTTGTCCGAATCGGGAGTGGAACGTGACCGTTGTCTTGACTGTTGTCTGTTCGCTCAACTTGGCGTCGAGGTGAAGCCCTTGAAGTCGGTCAAGAGCCCCCTCTAGCGGCTGACGTTGGTAGAATTGCTTTTCCACCACACTCAGGATCCCGGTCCACTCCATGTTGCGCGACTCAGTCCTCATCCAGCCTTCATTGACGTCAACGATGGTCGTTTCGAGGATGTAGCTCTGTCCGGAACTGTCCGAGCCGCCCATTCCCTTTGGCAGCAACTTGAGAATCCCCGACGGAACTTTAGACTTCTTGAGGTGCAGACGAATGGTGTGGAGGCGTTTCGTGTCCGGGTCGACATAACGGTCAATGACATCAGTGGTTAGAACATGGCGAGAGTACGGGTTAGGATAGCGGAGGAAGTAAGCCAGCGACACGGCTGGGAAGGAGTAGTCGTATGTAGAGACATTCTCGAAGAATTTCATTCTTGCAGCTGCTGATGCATACAGACGAATTGATTGAGGTGTGAATTTGATCTGAGAGATGATATGATAAGTTCGACTGATGGGATGGGATGGATATATGGGATTGTGAATTGTGGGAGTTGGGCTGGGGGTGGCGTTGTGGTTGTGGGCGAGACTGCTTGTTAAGTTCCAACACAATCAGTAAGGTTTTGGGGATGATCAGCTCTCCATTCTGCTCAATCACCTTTCGCAGTGGCCGGACAAAACTGCCCGAACCTCCGGGACTGGGAAGAATTTCTGTCAGCTTCTAAGCTAAGCCTTTTTTAGAATGCGGGGATGCTGACTCATTTGACCGCGCACCGCCAATCGTTGCATCATCTGATTCTCCCGCCTTGCCCAGCCAATCACACAGCCGGTGCTGGCATATTGCGACCGTGCGATTTGTCTATGAAAATGGCGAGACTTACCCTCTCTTGAGCGTCCCAAGCTGCATCTGTGTTCTACGCTATCAGGTGCCAGGTGTTGATTGGGAGACACGTTCAAAGCCCTCATACGACTGGTGCAGCGGCTGACGTCAATTATGAACTCCTTATTGGATGCAAAGAACCATCCATGATGGACTGCATCAATACCTCGTTTAACCCAAATGTACAGTATATACCCGGAACGCTAAGTACGCTGTACTCGAAAGCCGCTGGCACTGTCACCCATTTACCTCCTCTCTTCAATTGTAAAACTATGATGCCTCCCTTAACCCAAGATACTGGCCTCGCGAAGGAATTGCACCCTGAAGTATTCGTGGCTGCACTATAGCGCAGCATGGAAACGGTACTATTTGCAGTTCTTTGAATAGACCAACTGAGTTTCACATCTGCAAATTATTTTGCTCACATGTAGACATTCTCGACACGTGTGTGATTCTAGGACTGCCCATCATCGAGTCTGTTTAAGACAATTCTACCACGGATGAAGCCCCGGACACCGTTACTGAGCCAACACACTTCGCCATCGATCAAGTCAGCAACTTCGATGATCTGCTCTGCACAGAACCCTTCAGCCAACGCATATTGCCTTGTTGTGCCTGCATTACCACCACTTGAGAGGGGAGGCGTGACCCAGTCTGGCTCAGTATCACTCTCTAGGCTCTCGCCCTTACTTACGGGTCGCCTGCGCCGGAAGTAGGGTGTGGTGATGCTCCCTTCCATAACTTGACCCTCGGGGTTTACAAGCAGTACCTCAGCCTGGTCTAACGGGGACATGATCCCCGCTCTGACCCGTGCAGCATTGTAGAAATCGCGAGCGGTAGTCTTGTGCCTCGTGAACGCAGATGGAGTTATTGAACCTGTATCCACATAAATATTCCATAGGTTTGATTGTGTATGTTCTCGATTGGGGATGAGCATGTTCAATGGGTCAATCGATGCTGTCGGGTTGACCTCGACAGTGCAAGCTCCGGTGCGTTCGATGATAATCCGGATGCGCCAAGGTCTCGTCTTGTCCAAGATGTGAGCATCAAGGTATTCAGAGAGTTGGGTGAGATCTGTTTGTAGAAATGACAGAGCCTTCTTCCAACCGAAGCATTCTGCCGCATTACGAAGCCGGGCCTGATGGTAGGGAAGCAGGTAATATGGCGTGCTGGAAGGGTGGAAATGTTTGTCCGCGGCTTTCTCAGTGCTCAAGCTTCGAAGCGCAGGATCATAGCGCAGAGACGATATGATTTGGAAGTCCTCTTCCAGCGAGGCGGAAGCCATTGACTGCATCCCTGGGGTGACCTGATCGATCGCGTGGTCCACCACTTCAGCCAGATCCTGCACTGTTAGTAGCCCTGGCTATGAACGGAAGTTCGGCGTTGCTGTAATGATAAATATTTTCAGCACAGGTAGAACAATCAGTGTCTGGTGAGACCAGGAGCTTTCCTTGGAGCAATTTGCGCTCGAACAAGGAAGGAGAGAATGACGAAGATGCGGTGGTGGAGCGAACCAGGAGCTGACGGAGCATCCCCTTGCCGCGAGCGTGATTGGCCCATAGGAGCTCGGGAAGCCCGCTGCGTCGCCGGAACATCGCAACGCATAACTTTTCAAACCGCATCATCTCTCTCTCTCTCTCCTCGCTCTTTTCCATCTCCACCCCCCTCCCCAACGAAGCAAAGCAGTCATCCTGCCGACGAGCTCTTGCCCTGCACCCAGGACGGTCCGTTCCTCTCGCTATTGAACTCTTATCTGACCGCTGTCTCCAGCGCTAACTTCCCCTTCCCAGAATTATAGATAAAAAGAGACCAGACTAAGATAACGGGTTCCTCTGCCGGGTCATCATGTCGAGCGCATCACCATTGCCCCAGCCAACGAAGAACGTGGTTCTCGACACCACTTCCCTCCCCGCCTCTTCCTCAGCCTCAGTATGGGATCGTATCTCAAAATGGGTGTCGGAGAACAAGGCTCTGGTCTACACCATCGCCGGTGTCGCTGTGGTTGTAACTAGCGCGGGTGTCGTCTACTACCTCTCCGATTCCGGTCGCCCTACCACGACTGCCGCCCCCACAGAAAAGAAGAAGAGCAAGAACCAGAGACGGAAGGAGAAGAAGAAGGCCGAGGAGGAAAAGAAGGCCAAGGCTGCCTCTGTCCAGGAGGGTATGTCCAGTCCAGTTGCATCCTCCGATCTCGGTCGACCCTCGAAGTACGGGCTAATGATGATCTCGCAGAACCGGCCGCCAAGAAGACAGAAGAGCCTTCCGATGAGATTCCTGAAGTTGACGAGACTACTGTTGAGCAGTTGTCCGAGGAGGTGCGCGATTATCCTTTGTGGTAAATGGTGGTTGAATACTCTTGCTGATTGTATCCCCCTCAAATTTGCAGACAAGAAAGGCCTACGCTGCCAAGCTGAAGGCTGCTGGAAACAAGGCATATGGCTCCAAGGACTATAACCGGGCCATTGAACTGTACGGCAAGGCCATCATTTGCAAGCCCGACCCCGTCTTTTACTCCAACCGTGCTGCCTGCTACAACGTTTTGTCCGAGTGGGAGAAGGTCGTCGAGGACACCAGCGCCGCTCTCGCCATGGACAGCGAATATGTCAAGGCCCTGAACCGCCGCGCTATCGCATATGAGCACCTCGAGCAGTACAGCGAGGCTCTTCTCGACTTCACCGCCAGCTGCATTATCGACGGTTTCTCCAACGAGATCAGCCGCGTCGCCCTCGAGAGACTCCTGAAGAAGGTTGCTGAGAAGAAGGGCAAGGATATCCTCGAGGCCAAGGGCAAGAAGCTGCCTAGCCCCACTTTCGTGTCCAACTACCTTCAGAGCTTCCGCCCCAGGCCTCTTCCGGAAGGTCTGGACGAGTCCGCCGACCTGAGCGAAGAGTCTGGTAAGGGCCTTCTGCGCAAGGGTCTGATTGCCATGGCCAAGAAGACTGGGGATGGCTACGAGGAGGCTGCTACATCCTTTGAGAAAGCCCTCGAGGTTGGCGATCTCGGTGACTTCGAAGCCTTGGCCCTCAACATGAGAGCTACTTTCACTTACCTGGTCGGCAATGCCCAGGCTGCGCTGCTGGACCTCAACAAGAGTGTTGAGCTGCAGCCCTCTCTGGTGCAGAGCTACATCAAGCGTGCCAGCTTGCACCTGGAACTCGGTACGTGAATACAACTAAGGCTCTCCCCATTTGCATGTCTAATAACGTTATACAGGAAACAAGGATGCTGCCGCCGATGACTTCGAACTTGCCATTACTCACAACAAGGACGACCCTGATATCTACTACCACCGCGCCCAGCTCCACTTCATCCTTGGTGAGTTCGCCGAGGCCGCTAAGGATTACCAGAAGTCCATCGATCTCGACCGTACCTTTATCTACTCGCACATCCAGCTTGGTGTCACTCAGTACAAGATGGGATCTGTCGCTTCCGCCATGGCCACCTTCCGCAGATCCGTGAAGAACTTCGAGGATGTTCCGGATGTCTACAACTACTACGGTGAACTTCTCCTTGACCAGCAGAACTTCCAAGAGGCCATCGAGAAGTTCGACAAGGCCGTCGAGATGGAGAAGCAGAGCAAGCCCATGGGCATCAATGTCCTGCCTCTCATCAACAAGGCCCTTGCGCTGTTCCAGTGGAAGCATGACTTCCAGGAGGCCGAGAACCTCTGCCAGAAGGCCCTGATTAGTAAGTGTCACGGTAGACCTTAATGCGCTGCGCCCATCTCGATACTAACTCCATGACAGTTGACCCCGAGTGCGACATTGCTGTGGGTACCATGGCCCAGCTGCTGTTGCAGCAGGGCAAGGTCTCCCAAGCCCTCAAGTACTTCGAGCGCGCTGCCGAACTCGCTCGTACGGAGGCCGAGATCATCAACGCTATCTCCTACGCCGAGGCCACTCGCACGCAGCTGGAGGTGCAAGAGAAGTACCCCCAACTTGCTGCCCGTTTGCAGGGCATGAGTGCCGGAGGTGGCTTCGGTGCCCCCGGTCTGTAAGCCCGACCTATGATATGATCTCGACTTAATCGTCCTCCTCCACCTCCCCTCACCGTCGTTATCAACTCTTTCCGATCCACCGAGTGTTGTAGGCAATATCCGTGCCTGGTTGTGTCATCTTCTACCCTGGTTTTTTGAGGGTGTTTTTAGGGCGCCTGGACCACTCATCCACTGCGTGTATTTATTCTACGACTTGTGTTAATCTTTCTCCCCACGATATACTGTGTATGGATCTCTTTTGTTTGGTGCTGCTTTTCCTTACTTTGCAATCGTGTGTCATTAAAGGATGTTCCTCGTATCGAGGCGGGTTTCCTATTCCCTATGAATGTCTGGTTGCGCACCGGGCTCTTTGTCAAGAAAGAATGGCCTGAAAGATGCCGTGCTTTGAAATGTTCTGCAGAGGGAGGGGGGTATAACTGGTATGGCTGCGTGTCGATACTGCGGCTGGACGACTGTCGTAAGGGAGGCGGATGAGAAGTGTCCGACAATGTATAATAGTACTGTGCAAGAGGCAGGAGCAGCAGCAGGAAGAAGAAAGTGATGAAGAAATGGACGAAGGATGTCACTTGTTATGAGTATTCTTTTTATCGTCGTGTGATTCGTAGGAGGTCGAAGTGATATTTTGGTATACAAGATAGTCCGTAGAAGGGGCCGATAATTGCTATTGACAACGGTTGTAATCCTAAAGCTACCGGATCCAAACCTTGTATAGTAGGCGGTATGCCTTACGAAACTTTTATCTTCTGCACAATCACATGCTGACAATTATAACAAGAGATTGAAATAGAAAAATACTTCCTAATATGGAATCCTAATATTCAGTTTAGTTCTTAATAATTGTTGATTTTGTAGCACCGTTATTAATCCACTGTCTTCACCTCTCTTGTATGACTTCAAATCAGTAATAACCTAAAGTTTTCGAGTAAATAAGATAAACTTAGCAGATCTGAAATCAATAATCATGACTACTCACGATTGAACACAACTATACTACAAGTAAGTAGCAATACCTTCGGCCGCTGGAAGCTGTAATAATTCCTGATGTGATTCCCCAATGTAAGAAGATTCCCCCTCAAGATGTTGTAAAGGTGCGGGCGGCGGGAGGTGGTCCCGACTCCCGGATAAGCCCCGGAATTCCCTCACTAGTCCCTCACTATGACTGTTCTTTCGTCCACCTGACAGGAAGCCCCCACTTATCCGCCTATCAGTGATCGCCCCTCTCCATCTTTCCCGTCATTATCCATTCAACTTATCGTCGTCGTTGTTCAATACAGTACTACTGATACTGAGTACTTCGATGCTGTGCTGGTTCACCACTTGTTTCTAAACTGCTGGTACTGGAATTCCGGTCCGTCAAATACCGGACTGCTTTGATCTTTCATTGTTGGTCCTGTACTAGCTGTCTAGGCTCCTCTTTCCTTTGCCTTCATCGCTCTCCTTCCCCTCTCCTAACCCCCCCCCCAAGGTTTCCCCCTTCCCTACCTCATCAAACGAACTACATCAGTATTCTCAGATTCCCACCAAGCTCGCCGCCTACACTTCCTTGAAGCTTGGTTTGTACTTGATTGTTTCAGCCCGATCATCCAGTGGTGTCAGATCCATATTTCCTCCCTTCACGACGACCGCCTTTTGACTGTCCTCGGGCTGCTGATTACATCGGGTAGGTGGTGGCCTGCTGCTGCCCCTCTTCAACCTACTCGAGTCTCCCGTCTTCCAACCATCTTTGTCTCATCATCCTCCTCTCTCACAACCCGATCTTAACACAGCCACTAGGACTACATTTATCTAGGCTGAATGATCGATAGCGCTCAGAGCGATCGGCTCTAGAAAACTGACATCATGCTCGTCTCAGAAGGTATGTGTTTACCTGGACTGGCTTACTCCTTCCCCGGCACATTAGTCAAGCTCACACGGTCCACCTTCCGTAACCTCGCCGAGCTCGGATCTCAACGAGATCCGGAACCCCCCAGAAACGAGAACTCCATGGCTGACTTATCGGTATCATAGCTGTTGTTGTTAACCTTCGTCCGCTGACTCCGATCGATGAGTTCCCATGCCGATCTCTCAAGTTTACACCTGATACTACCGATGTATGTATCGGGCGAGCGTCAAAGCGGGAGTCCAAGAACCTCGTTCCCTGCAAGGATAATGGGCTATTCGATTCGCGAGTTATGTCAAGAAACCATGCTCAACTGATAGTACGTCTGGATAAGAAGGTATGCGTCTCTTTGTTCGGTTGTATCTTGTATGGGAAGCATGCATCTCTCGAGCGTGTGTCTCTTGAGCGTGCGTCTCTTGAGTGTGTCTCTCTCGAGTGTGTGTCTCTTGAGCATGCGCCTCCTGAGCATCTGTATTAGCACCTGGGCAGCCTTCGCTGATGATTGCTTAACTAGCTCGCCTATCTTCGAGATGGTGGATCAATGCACGGTACCTATGTAAACGGGAAGAAACTCGCCAGCGAGGAGGAACACCTGCTCAGTCAAGGGGATCTTATCACATTTGGCACAGAAGTGATTCGTGGTAAAGGTGAGTGGCCTCGCACAGGTCAACAAATTGCTCTGACACTTTCATTTGGCGCAACTAACTCATCGTCGGCATCTAGATACGTTCCCACCGGTAAAAGTACGTTGTGAACTTGACTGGCTTCATAAGCCTACGCCCACGAATACGTTCTGCGTACCTGATGATGACGATGACAATGACGTCGAAACTGATAATGCTCCGGTGGTATGTCCGGCTGCAAGCTCTGATGACGAAGACTCTGTATTCCGCTCTGACTTTGATGATCAGTCGGTTGTGGAGGTCTCATCACCCTTTACCTCACCTTTGAAAACGGATTCACCGAACATTACCCTTTATTCATCTGTCAACATGCTTGATAACAGTGACTGTGCTGCTCGCCACGGATCCCAAGATAGTCCCATTCACCTCGACTGTGATCCGGCTGAACAGCCTTTGGTGACTCCGCGGATGACCCCACCAGCGGCGATAAGTACCCTCGATGAGGAGCCTGGTGAGGGAGTTGCTCATCTGGATGTCTTTGTGGAAGAAACTGGTCTCGAGTCCTCCCTAGAATCCACTCCTGAAGGGAGTTCGGACTGGGAGGAGGAGGATGATGATGTCTCCTACGGCGACGAAGAGGAGATACACTCGCAGTGCTCTTTGGACTCCGACATGGAAGAAGACTCATGCGTCTTTGACGATTATAAGACTATGAAGACTTCTCAGGTCCTCGGTATTCGTGATCTGATAGCGTCCGATTCCTCCTTCGACTTCGAGGGAGCAGCTCATCGACCGAATTCTGGGGTTGCCGAGCCTCGCTTCGATGACGAAAAGGGAAATGAGGTGTCACCCATTTTACCCAAGGCCATCCCGTCCGACTTGCCTGTCATTGAACACACTTCCTCAGAATCAATCTCTCACAATGTAAAACCAAGCGAAATCTTTCCTATCCAAGCGCCACAGTCATCAAATATGCTGCCGTTATCCCTGTTGTGTCAACAAACACAGAACAGATTTCTCCCTAATTCTCTCATTGGACTCCAGCAGAATCCTCTGGCGTCTCCTATCGATTGGCATCCTGGGAGTGTGTATCCGCTTCCTGTCCCAGCTCTCCCAAAGGTGACCTATTCTGATGGCCCCTTTGCCAATGAGCTTACTGCGGCAAATAGTACTGCAACTACTTGCGAAACCACCGAACCTACCGTCGCCAACCCGGCCACAGCTTTCCCAGTGAGCAAGTACGCCGGGCCGAGCGAGCAAGATATCCAGAGAACTGCCGTGGTCTCAGAGCAGCCGAACACATCACAGTTGCCGCCATCGCAGAGTGCCATTCCCCCGCAAGATCCCGGTTCCAACGTACAAGAATCTAGGCCATTGAAAAGGAAGGCAGAGGCTATTGAAGAACCCCTGACCAATCCATCGCGAGAGATACAGGTTTTGGATTGTGGTCACAACGAGACAGACTCACTTGAGGCTCAGCCAAGGAAGCCATCGGAAAACCAAGATATTATTCCGCGTTCTCTTCCAGAGCTGGTCCCTACAAATGAGTCTACACCCGCCAGTGAAACTCTCAATGTTCCTACCAGCTCCGAACGACCTCTCAAACGAGCAAAGAAGTCAGCTGCCCGGAGCTTCGCCAGCCATGCTGCTACTGCTGCCCTGGGAGTTGCGATAGGTGCTCTCGGTACTATTGTCACGTTGGCCTCGCTTCCTCCCGACTACTTTTATGAATGAGCTTCTCGGTCCTGTGCGTTACGATTGTCGCTTCTTGCCACTGCCATCGATCTACCGCCTTCTGTCTCCCTTTCAACGCTTCTTATCCAGGAATGATCTGAGGTTCATTAGCAAACAACACTCAAAGGATGAGATAAAACCGGCAGATGTGAAGTTATTGATCAAGACACCAATGACAATCGTCACGGACCTCACTGAGTAGTCCCTGAGGTGCTGCGGAGGGCTTGGTGCTTTTATTCTGATAACATGAAACGGATTGATGATTTCCTTAAACGCTTACGAATTATAGTGTGTGGCGTTGTCGGCATTCTCGAATCGAGACTGGATTATCCGGTCATCCTAGCTTATTTTTGGCTGAACTTCTTGTTGCTCAGGGCCATACTCATTTGTTGTTCTTTGCTTTGCTTTTCAACTGATTAACGCCAGGTTACAGTCATAACTACCTATTTACCCTGAGCCGAATGTAACTAGTGCTTCGGCAGATAATCCAAGCCAGTCTTCTTTTGTCATGATGTATGGCTATTCCGTGTGACCCTCTGGAGGTCAAGCCAACTAAATCCCTTCAATTCAATTCAATTCAATCCAAGCTCTGTTAACCTGGGGAGCCCACCGAGTACGGCTAGCTGTGGAGCTGCTTCTTCGAAGCCGAGAGCCTGGCGGTACGCCATGAGGCCCCTAAATACCCTTAATAATCAAGAAGCAACGTATATCCCTTGCAAACATATAGAAAGACGGCTCCGTGGCCGCCCTTGGTCCCGAATGGATTGAATAGACATGTAGATTGCGGCTGAAACATGCCTTACTCCTAGCCTGAGGGACAAGAGATCATCAAGTTGCCTTGTTCTCGCACTGCTGCCCTTATTTGACCTCGATATCACCTTCCAAGTTCGCACGGAATTGCAGACATGGGTAGTTGTCTAGCGTCCGGCTTGTCGGAACACTTGGGCCAAAGTCAGCTGATTGCGCATTTGTTTCTTCCTCCGACTGGAGCGGCTGAATCTCGCTTTGTGCAACTCTCGGCCCAGCAACATCATCAACTCCCGCAGCACTTTCGAGGCTAGCTGGATTCTGCTTCACTTCCCTGGCCTACTTTCGCTTCCTCTTCGATGAAGCGACATCCAAATATTACAACTGACTGTCTTGCCTTGAGCCAGCCTAGATAACAATGGCTATGATGAATGATCCCCTGGTTCAAGTCAGATCCAAGGCCAGCGCGTGATTCCTGTCGGGTACTTGCATGCCGCTAACCATTTCTTCCCTACTAGACAAGCCTATTACCATCCCTGCATGCTGTCTACTATGCAAGCCACATTCTTTTCTTTCTGTGGACCGCTTCGAATGAAAAATCTACGTAGCATGGAGCTTATGGTCCCCACATGGGCGGTGCTGGATCGATGACAAACGCTGTCAATTTATCGTCCCGATGTGACTATTTCTACGGCGCTTTGGCGCTCCCTTTTCGCATCCTTGGCCCATGCTTCTTACAAGTCACCTGCTGTTCCAGCGTCCTCATCGATTCCCTTCTTCGGAAGAACAGATTGACCTAAGACAACATGGATTTGCCAAGCTCGTCACTTGCTGCGTCATACCGTTCTTTTCTCAACATGGTCCTGTTTCATATCATGATCAAGGATGCTACAGAACATGTGACCAATCCGCAGATACGCAATCTCCCCAGCCAGGCTGAATTAACACGTCATTGGTCGACAATTTGGGGGAAAAGAGGATTGGTTCGCCCGGAGGTAAAAAGAAAAAGTGCCTGAGGCACTGACTAATGAGTAGAGCAGCGATTGCAGCGGTTATTTCGCGATTGATTCTCCAGGCCTCATTGTGCGATCGGATACTTGCAGGCCCAGGAATTAACCTCCCGACATGAGATACAACCGTGTCGCAACCTACTAGGTACAGTACTATCAGATCATCTGATGACCACATTACCCTACGCCATTCCGTTTCTCTCCCCCGCTATGGCCACGGGTCGAGTATCCCGGCTATATTAGAGAACTATTGCCTTGGCCAAACTCTCTGCGGCTCAAACTACTGTGGGGTTGCTGTGGTATTCTGTTTGATGAAGAGGACTGTGCCATGATTTCCGAGGATGTGTAGCTCCATCGTGATTCTCTCCTCTCGTGAACGGATATTGCTATCGGGGTGCAGAAGTGATGGCCGCCCCGTTAACGCCGCATTTGTTGTTTGGTCACCTGTGTGGATATCCACTAATTATCTAAGGCAGCAAGCAGCAAGCAGCAAGCTTTCACATTGGAGAGAAGAATGTGTAGCTCTCACATATAACGGGATTTGACCTTGAGAGTGCAGTCTACCCCGGGGCTGATTGAAGTGGACTGCAATGATTGGTTTGCCTTTTAGCGAATATGCAAGCTCCATGCATACGACACCCTCGGACCCGTTCCAAGAGGGAGAAAAGCCGCCTTGAGTTCACTCGGGGTTCTCAGAGGTTAGTAATCTGGTGTTACTCCTACTCGGGTAGAATCCATCTAGAATCGCTTTCTTGTGTCATCTTGAACTCCGATGGCTGTTGCTGATGAGATGGCGCCCCAGTCAGACGGGCTGCACCTATCCGTCACCAAGTTCACTGTGAGCCCGCCTTTATCTTTTTTTTATCTTTTTATCTGTTTATCTCAAATCAAAAGCAGACAATCGGGTAGTTATGCTTCCCAATATTACTCATTATTTTGAGCCAGTGAGGTAGCACAACTCTCCGTGGCTGCCATGCTTCTTGTCTTGTTCCCGGCTATTTGTCCTATTTGGTCTCTTATCCCACCCACCAAATCCACCACCTTCAACACCCCATGTTTTCTTTTTCCTCTTTCTGATTTAACCGCACTATGCACGCTTTATCACTTCTCCTAATTTCACTTGCTTCTCTTTGTCGGTTCGATCCGTCTCCCCCCTCACCCTCCATACCGTACCAAGATAGACGAAGCGATCAGCATTCTCTGATACGCACGAGCAAGCCTCACATGTAGGCAGCTGGGCCGTTTATCAATGGCCGCCGCAACGATCATGTACTGGGTCCGGTCCCACGGGTCCAAGGCATCTACAAGGCTCTCATTCGGCCGTCGTCTTCATGAATCACCGGAAGAAAAGCATACCCGCGTGTCTGATAGGCATCGACTGGCCCCCAGGCTAGTCGCTGGGGACTGCGTATGCGGACGCTTTGTGATCCTTGAACCAGGCCGCACTGACCGTTCATGTCATTGGAGCGGCTCTCCGAAAAAATATCGCTAGATGTGACCGAAGGCTCACGCTGGCAATCTACTTCGGAGGCGATTACTGGAAGTTGATTCGGTGCTGCCGATACGAGATCCGTTGACTCGCAAGCTGGTCGCACAATCTATGGTCAAGTAGGTCTTACGATTTCTATCTACAGAGAGGTTGCCATTCGCACCGGGCAGGGAGCAGCCTGGCTTGACTGCAGACTGGTATTTTTGCTTTTTCTCTCGCATCCCTTCCCCAGTTGGTTTCGAATTGTTCTATGCCTAACGGAAGACAGATAAATCAAGCTTCCCCTCAGTGAGAAAATCCGCCTTCGAGATCTGAAACAACATTGTACCGAGTGTCTCAGTTGACCACAACACCTTCGCACGTGTTCTAAGCCGGGGGCAATCCTCATTGACTTTTCAACTGCTCATCCACTGCTTTCGAGCTCGTTGTATCTTATTCCTGTCGGTCAGAGAAACGATGTCTCACTCGGCAGGCTCAATCCATCCCCTTGACCCCGATCACAACTCGTGCATCGGTGGACAGACAGTGAAGACCTGCCGTAGCTGCGCAGGGAATGCACCACGGTCGGTTTTTTTCGCCAGCGAAACAAGCTTTTCTTGTTGGTCGTCACCACTAACGCAGCCGACAGAGGTTCAATCTGCAACAGCTGCAGTGGCCATGGGTTCGTTCTATACGTCTGCACTCATTGTAACCCAGCAGCTGCTGTGTCCGCAGCTCGAAGCGCTACCGGCGCCACTGCAGTGTCGATGTCCACCCCGGGGTCATCAACTCCTGCCAGCCCAGCGTCCCTGAGCCGAAGCTCCTCTACCTCCCTATCATCGCAAAACGATGCTAGGCAGATCAGATCCTGGAGGCGCTTCGGAGATGGAGATGACGGACCAGGAGGAGGGAGGATCGAAACCAAAGCAAATACGCCCCGTGGCCTATGATCAAACTACCGAAAGAAAAAGAATCCTGAAATTTTGGGGTGCTGGCTGCCCTTTTTGTCTTCGCCTCTTTTTGTGCGCTGAGATCTTCATGTTGAACCTGGTTCTTTCGCCATTTTTTGGGGCTTATTTTCATTAGCTTTTCCCATTTGGCGAAATGGAGTCACAAACCCTGTGATGTATACCCGGCGGAAAGCCTGTGACTTTTCATCGGGCGTTTTTCACCTATATTCCCTTCATTATGTGGGCTCTGCTCCACGCTTTTCGCATTCTTCGCTTGGGCTGTCTCGTGTTCACTGTTTACATGCAGATGAATAATCCAATGATATTGCACGATTGAGAACTCAATGCGAAGTACGAATATTGATTGTTCATGCGGAACAGCTTGTGTTGGCGTAGCTTGAATGAAGTGAGCAGAGCAAACTGCGATACATTGCATCCGGCTTTCCCGCAACACCAACCTCGGCACTCTCTCTACTAACTCGTAAGAATTGCGGGACAATCATACCCCGGAGGAGCACTCTCTCAGGTCATCTGACTGCGGGGAAGGAGGAGAGCGACCGGAAAAGCCGGTCAACCCAAGGTGCACGGCAAATCCGAGGGGTAGCTTAAAGTTCGTAGTATGGGGGAATGGAGAAAACTTGCCCCAAATGCCCCCACAGTCTTCCCGATGACGCGCCCTCCGCCGTCCTTATATCTGAGGCACCCACGGCGAAACTTTCAGTCACCCCTCAACAAAACTTTTTTTACACCTCTCTCGCCACGCCCTTTCTTTCATTGAGCCTTTCCACGGGCCAACCCTCTCCCACCCCTGTTCCATCCACGCGCATGCGAATTCATCATGTCCCTATCCTGGACCAATGAGCCCCCCAAGGGAAGAGTTCCTTATGCGATTCCCCAGCTGGAAGGCGAGCGCATCACCATTCCCGGCAGCAAGGGCTCCTTTCGCATCCTGGCCTCGTCGCTGCAAACCAATGGCTTGATGTCGGTCTTCCAGAGTGGCGCTGTTCTCTCGGATGCACCTGGATTCCACTACCATAACCATGCACATGATGTCTTCTTGGTAACCAAGGGGTTCCTGAAGCTATGGAATGGCGACAAGTGCCGCATCATGGGGCCCGGAGACTTCGCTTATGTGCCTCCTGTACGGCTTCTCAAAACATTCTCCTATCTACGACCCGCAACTGACTCATATGTTCTAGACCGTGATCCATAACCCGGAGATGATGGGCCCACACACCGAGACCTACGGAGTGGTCACACCCGGCGACTGGGTCGACTTCTTCCGATATGTTTCCGAGCGCTACGACGGAGTGCTGGTGCCGGAGCACGACGACCGCGATCTCAAGTCCATCCTGATCCCGAAGGTGATGGCTGCGAAGGAACAATTCGACGTGGTGTTCCAGCCCCACTACCAGCCTCCGGAGCTCGGGGAATGGACGAAGGATGAGGAGGTACTGCCCGAAAGCCCCCAGGGCTACTTCCTTCGGGCCAACACGGGGCCGAAATGGATGTTTGGCGGGGTGATGTCTCGACCGTTCGTCACCACTGCTCAGAGCAGCGGGGTCTGTGCTATCTCCAGTATCGAATCCTCGAAAGTCTACGGTGATACCATTTTGTCCAAGTACATGACCTTCAAATCGGTGGATCACTGTCTGTGCGTGCAGGAGGGCACGCTGATCGTCAGCCTCGAGGGGCAGTCCGACACCGAGTTCCGCGAAGGGGAGACGGCCGTGATTCCTGCTGGACAGGCATTCGCGTTGAAGTTTGCCAGTCGCTTCGTGCGTGTCTGGTCGTTCACGGATGGCGACGGTATCGAGACATTGATCCACCGGGTCGGCCAACGATATGAAGGCGCGGTGCTACCAGACGAAGTGCGCGAATGGGACGCGGCGGACGTCAAGTCGGTGGTGGCTGACCTGAACATGGAAATTGCACTGTGAGAACGAACGCCTGTGTGTTCTGTAGTGGGGCGGATGAGACGCGTACGCACTCACCCCTCCGCATGCTGCATTGGACTTGGCGTTTTTCGGATTAGATCATTTGCTGTACATAAATCATCTGAACCATCACTAAGATATATGAAATCCTTACAATAACTCTTTCTTTTGGCCTAAATTAAGCGGCACAGTGTCGGTAGATTAAAACCGAGCGATGCGGGGACCCCGCGGGGGCGAAGGGGCCACGTGATGGCCGGAAAAGCCGGCGCATTTCTGAGTTTTTGGTCAGATTCCACCTCAACCAATCCGCCACTAACTAATCGAATCATCCGTGTGTCACACTTCATTCACTGCCAAGTCTGCGCACACTTACTTGCCTTTGCATATCTCCCCTGCTTACCCTTGATTCTTAACGGATACTATCTTTTGATCACCACGACTTCCACCTCTTCTACGTTGGTTTTCTCGCTCTTTGTCAGCTCCCAATGCCGTGCGCAATCTAGATGGATGATGCAACCTGAGGCTCGCCCATCTCCCGCACCACCGGCTGCCGGGGATGAGAATTCCCCTCTGCCCCGGGCAAAGCGACCCCGCGCAGCCCAGGCCTGTGAGAGGTGTAGATCTAAGAAGTACAAGTGCGATGAACAGTATCCTTGCTCTCACTGTAAGAGTATGTTGTGGTATTAATTCACCTGGGAAGATATAGGTATCTAACCTCGTCGCAGAAAGTGACCTCGCTTGCGTGTATCAGGGAAACTACCGACAGAGGGAGAGTAGCCGGTCTGCCAGGTAAGAATAGTCCCAGTTGCCACAGTTCTGAGTAGTTTGCATTGTTAAAGGGCGGATTAGCTATGTCGCAGATCTAGAGCGAAAGGTGGACGAGCTCACAACCAAGCTACGCTTGGCCGAGTCGGAAATCACCTCGCAGCTACCTCAGAGAGTGATTCCAACGACCTTCGCAAGTCCCGGAACGGCCCAACAACCGGTGGTGCCCCAAGCTGCCATCGATGCAACTCCCGTATCCCTGCCGCGCAACGAGTCCACTCCGCGGGAAGAAGCGCCAGCCCTCTACGATCACCACGACGAGGCCGGAGACTCGGTCGGGGATGAAATCAGCGAACTGAATCACCACACCAACGGCATCGAGTTCCACGGTAGCACCTCGTCGGCGGCCCTGCTCGGACACCTGCAGAAGGCGCGGGAGCCACAGCGACGCCTCGAGGAGCAGCAGCGGCAGCAGCAGCAGCAGCAGCAGAATCAGCAGCATTCCCGCGCTGAAAAGCCTGCCGCTGGGTACTCGATCGTATCGACGCTGCACAACCCAAGCTTCTCACCCTCGTGTACGGCGGGCCCGGCACAGCCGGTGGTGATGCAGGAGCAGAACTATTACTTCGAGCAGGCGCATGCGTTCATCAACGGCTACTTTGAGAATATCCATTTCATTCACCCGCTCATCGATAAGGAGGACTTCCTGCAGCGAGCGCATAATCTGTGGTTCAACCGGAATGTGCAGCCGGAACCCAGCTTTGTGGCTCTGTATTTGAGCATTCTTTCCTTTGGGGCCTTGGTGAGGGTGTGGGATGAGGAGAGGCTCGGTGGGTTGACGAGGTTCGAGTGGAGCCGGAAACTGTTTGGCGAGGCCCAGATGTATCTGAATTACCTGCATTTCTCGAATACGCTGGACACAGTGCAGTGTCTGTATCTTATGGTGAGCAGTCGTTGACGAGTTTGGGTCTTTGCGCGCAGCTGACTTGGATAGGCGAAAATTTGTCAGAATGAACTGAACCCGAACAGTGAGTTGGTTGTTTCTCTCCGCTGCGAGGAAATTACTCATGTTTTATATTAGTGGCCTATATGTATTTGGGGCTCGCCGTGCGTACGTGCCTGGCTGCTGGCTTCAATCGGGAGGTGCGGAGCACAGACGATCATCGCGCTGGATGGATTTCGAAGACTTGGTGGTAAGTCTGGTAGCCTCATGATATGTTGCTAGATCTAATGTTTCTAGGGGCCTCTTTTCCTTGGAAATGTAAGTTTTACCATCAATTCTGCCAGGTAGGTCACTAATCGCATCCAGTGAGATGAGCTTCTCAGTCGGTCGTCCAGACACCTTAGGCATGGACGAATACCACAATCGAGCTCTACCGGAAAGAGACGACTCTGAATATGCCATCATTCCTTGGATGGTCGACTTCGCGCAGATCATTCGCCGAGTTTCCGTGCAGATATACCACTCACGAATCACATTACAAGAGAAGCTACACTTAGCTCTCCAGATTGAGACTGAGCTCGACCGCTGGATGGCGCGCTTACCGGACCGTCTCAAGCCCGACATGATGGAACGGGCAACCGGGGGTGCCTTGAGAGACCCTAAGTGGGCGCGTCGACAACGACTAGTCCTGGGTATTCGTAAGTCTACCGCAACAACATGGGGGTGCCTTGAGAGACGGTAGGGTTATATACGTGGCTGATTGTTTTAAACCATACAAGGCTACTTCAATGTCAAAATGCTTTTGTTCCGCCCCTTCCTGAGCCACTTCACCCGCAAACTCCGCCACCCGCCCATGGAACTTGAACAGACTATCGCCAAGTGCCTCGATGCAGCCATGAAAACCATTGAGGTGATCTACGATATTTACCGCATCCATGAGTTCTTCCGGTGTTGGTACGTTCTTTTCACCCTTACTTTGGCCGTTTTCCAGGCCGGAGCCCTAACGCTGATGCCCCGCGTAATAGGTGGTACAACACAACGTATGTCATGTTCGCGACTTCTACTCTCCTTCTCCCCATGTCCAAACTGGGTCCTTGCCCGGAAACCGTCCCGCTCCAGCGGTCCGTGGAGATGGGCGTCGAGATCCTTGAGGCGATGGACGAGTCCATCGTTGCCCGCAAGTCCGTCGAGATCATCAAACACTATCTCCGGGAATTCCGGTCATTGCCATCGTCCATTTCGTCGCTGTCACATCTGCACCAGCAGCACCTTCATCAGCACCAGCTCAATCAGCAGAGTCTGGCATCTTCGACGAGTAGTCATGATGGCGGTGGCAGCGGTGGTGGTGGTGGTGGGAGTGGGAATGGCGGGAGTAGCGGAGAGTATGCGGATACGAGTCCCAGTGGGACTGGTTTTGACATTCCGGTGAGCTTTTCCCTTATCTCTCAGCCTTGTACCTGGAACCGCCCTGATGCTTCTTTATCATGGATACATGCTAACAGCTATGGGGTATAGGAATGGGCCTACGGCTTCGGGTTCCCGGATTGTTCCTTTGAAGGCATAGCGAGGCTATTTGACGATCTAGGCGGGCTGCCGATGCTGGATAATTGATTTCGTTTTAACAATGTGCGAACGGGCTGGGCGATAACTGAGCCCGGGGGTTTGTCACCTATATTATGTCCATATGGGAGGTCATCGTCCATTTCCATATCACGGGTCGCTATGTTCTAGAGGAGCGGAGCAATGCAATGTCTACATGTACGATGATCATTAACAAATCACCTTGCAAACACTCCACACGGAACAGAGCTTCAGGTCCCCTCACTTAGTCTTGATAATATTAGTAGATCAGCTGAGCTCAGTCCCCTACAATCGATCTGCAACCTCAACAACACAACAACCAATCCATGACTCGTAACCACCACCATCCTCCATCATCTTGCTGGTCTATTCCAGCCCCTCCTGCATCGCCTCCGTCACCCCCTCATCGACCACCTCCACCATCAGCCCCATCACGAGATCCTGGACATCCTCATCCAATGCCCGGCGATCCTTCTGTTGATGCGAGGGCGCGGCGGCGTTGTGGGCGTTACTGCCCGAGTTGCTGTTAGCGTTTCCGTTGCCCTTGTTGTTGTTGTTGCTGTTGCCGTTGCCCTTGGCGCTGCTCGCGTTGCTGCTGCTGCCCGCGTTGCTGCTGCCCTTGCCATTGGCGCTGGCATTACCATTGCCATTGGCATTAGCCTTGCCGCTGGTCGCGACCGCCGTCGCACCGTGATCCCCGCCATCGGTGGCGGGCTTCTGGCCCTCGTTGGGGTCCTATCGCTCATTATCATCAGTAAAAATGAATCGCAAGTCCCATTGTATATACACAAGTACCGGCCCGAAGAACAGGAATCTGTTGTTCTTGGGGAAGAGATAAGCAGGCGGGGCGGGGCTGTTCCCTTACCGCGACGTGGTTATACGTGCTCCCTCCGGCGGCAGCGCCGCCAGCGCCGGAAGCACCGGCCGCCGCGGTGGCGGGCTTCTGGACGAGCGTGGTGGGGTGGGCGTTGGATGGTGCTGTTGCTGCTGTCGCTGCTGTTGCTGCTGCGAGACCGCTGAGGAGGAGGATGGAGGAGAGGAATTTCATGGTGATGGTTTTGGGGGGTTGGGTTGGTTGAGGGTATGGTAAGATGGTGTGTTGGGTTCGGGATTGATGAGTATTTGAGTTAGATGGTGGAGATGGGATGGGGGGATCGTTCTTGTGGGGTGAGAGGTGGGTTTATATACTCTTTTTTTGGATGCGGAAGGTAATGGAGGAGTATAGGGTAGGGTCTGGGGAAGGGGATGGGAAAGGGGTGATTGGAGTGTATTCTGGGAAGGTGAAGAGATGGTTGGACTGTATCTGGCAAAGGTAGAAGGCTCAGGCACTGGAATGCGTTTGCTACTACACTATATCTAGTTCTGGGGGTGGGTATCTGGGCTCTGGAATGTGTCGTCTGGCGGAAGTGTGTCTCCGTGGGGATTATCTTTTCATGCTTCGGTAGGCTGGGGTTTTTGCGCTGGTTGTGGGACTGCAATTGCCCTTGGTTAAGATGGACCTCATTGTGACCGATTACTCTATATGATGGACTATCGGAACAACGAAAACCTCTGCATCACGCACCAAAGTGACGTTTCCAATTGAGTTTGTTGTAACGAGGGGGTGGAGTGTACTACGGAGGAGGAAGAGAAATGCTGTCGCTTGTCATGCCGGATGCAAGGGGTGAAGCAAGCTTGAAGTCTAAGTTGGGATATGACTTGCGAGCGTTGAGGTACTTGTTCTAAAGATAGTTTACTGGAGTCTACTAGATAGTCACTTTTCACCACCCCTGGGACGATATCTCCGATATGAAGAAATGCGACCCCCCTGCAACACTGCGTATTCCCCCTCGACTGAACTCCCAAAAATTGGATCACTGCATACACAGAGGAGAGGTGAGCTAACGATCTTGGGATTGACCTCATCAGCCACGAAGACAAGAAGAAATGTAGACTATATTGCAAAATGACTGTACAAAGATCCCGCTTCAAGAATTCGGACAACAAAGAATCAAAGGAAAGTAGCATTCTACAAATTCGCCGTGACCTGTCCACTGAACAGCCCCGGATTCTCCGCCACAACGTTCTCGACCTCCTTGATGGCGTCGTAGCCGTACAACCACGGTTGGACTTCGGGACAGGTCCTATCCATTTGTATCGCCTGTGGTTAGTTATACTCCTTGTAGGCCCAAGAACAGGTGGAACGAACCATCGACTCGGGAACGCCCCTTTGAGTTCCTTGCCTAGTTGAGACAGGAAGACTCGGTCGCGCTTCTCTTGTTCGGGGCCGTTGGACATGTGGAAGTCGTTTCTCTGGCTCCTTGGTTAGTGATGGGATTGATCTGATGATGGAAAGAAGTGATGAGTGTGGGGGAAACGCACTTGCTTGAAGGTTTCCCGGACAATAGCCTCCCCGCGGGATTTACGGAGCTTCTCGTAGAGTCTCAGAATTTCCGGGAGGTCGGATTTCTGCTTCATATGGCCGAGAAGGCCGCCGAGGACGGCGCCGTCCTCGAGGGAGGAATTGGCGCCCTGTGCGAGGTAGGGGAGCATGGGGTGGCAGGCGTCACCGCTGGTGTTGCAGGTCAGTACCTTTCAGCATTCTAAGTTAGAAAGACAAGAGCTGGAGCATATCGTACATGAAGACTAGGTTTGATTTGTCGTTTATCCAGGAGTCCATTTCTGCGTCTGCATTAAAGGTTAGTGCTTACCCTTGGTGGGACAAGAAAGGAATTGTCGTACGATGCATGAGGCGCCATTTGTCGACGCCATTCACGTAAGTCAGAAACTTGGTTAGTCTGTTTCCCTCCAGTCAGTGAGCTACCACTTAGTTCCACAGACGGGAGAGAACATACACCGGATCCCAATCCACGAACAGCCCGCGCATCTCCTCCACCGACCCCGCCTGCCTCGACACCCCCGGCGGCAGCGTATCCGGCACCAGCAGTACGATATTGAACATCGAGCCCCCGCGCAGCGAGTACGCCACCGCGTGGGCCCCCGGCCCGACCCAGAAGTGCACGGTGGGGTTCTCGACCCAGGCGCGCAGCTCGGGGTCGTCCGCGAGCTGCTCGGCCGTCAGCACGATGCGATACGCCAGATCGCCCGTGGGCAGCGGCTCGTCCTTTCTTCCATAGAAGTTCTCACGGCACCGCGACCACAGCCCGTCCGCCGCGACGATCAGGTCGCCGCTCACCCGCCGCCCCTTCAGGGTGGTGATGGTCGTCGTCTCGAAGTCGATCGCGTCGACCCGCTCGTCCAGGTGGAAGGTCACCCCCAGCGCCCGCGCCCGCGCGTACAGCGCCTGCTGCAGGTCCACGCGGTGCAGGTCGATGAACGGCGCCCCGTACTTGGCGCGGATGTTGCGGTCGAAGTGCGCCTCGTGCGCCAGCGTCTCCCCCGTGTACCGGTGCACCGTCAGCGACGTTGGCTCGGCGGCCTCCGTCCAGATATTGGCGGGCAGCTGCCAGTGTTTGAAGAGCCGGGAGGCGTTGGGGGTGATCTGGAGCCCGGCGCCGACCTCGGCGAGTTCTTGCGCTTGTTCGAGGACGGTGACGGTGTGGCCGGTCATGGCGCACGAGATGGCCGTGGCGAGGCCGCTGAGGCCGGCGCCGACGATGATGATGTTGAGTTGCGAGTCCGAGGGGGCCTTGTGGTGGGTCAATGTCCCGTTGTCAGTTCATGCGAGTTGGATCATGAGAATCGATGCGAGCGTTTGTCGACTCGGGGTTTCGGGCCTGCTTACCATTTTTGAAGAGTCGGGGGTACCGCTGATGAGACTGTTGATAATACCCATTGTCAGGTACTCGATGTTGAAGTATGGGAAGTGGCAGAAGAAGGGAGAAAAAGATGAAGGTCAAGGATTACTGCAGAGGTTTTAAGTCCGAGGCATGGGCGCAACACAGCTTCCAAGTACCGAATTGGTGGTTTCCATCTACGGGCGTACAGCAAGGTGGTTGCTCGGCTTTGCCGGGGAGGTCGGGTTATCCGGGGCTTATATCCGAGGTGCATCGATCATTCCCCCGGATTCTCCTTTCTGTTGGTCTTGGGCTTGGGAATTCCACCCCCGCATGACTCTGACAGTTCGTATTTGCTCTCTCCACTTTACCCCAGAATTCATGGATGTTCTCCACCTCGCTTGCATTGCCGTTGCCACGCATGTCGCAGTGCTTTTTACTCCAGCTGCTCAGTGGAAGGAAGGCTCGAACGTGAGATGGTTGAGCTAGAGCCGTCTGAAAGAAGACTCCGCCTACCGCTGATCATGCTTGCCACTCAAGTGTCACTACACCTCGCTCCGAAGACTGAGTGGGAGAGCATGACTTCGCGTCATGGCCAACGCGAGAAATCCAGACAAGTTTGGTTCTGATACGAGGAAGGCAAAGCTAATCATCTGAATGAGCTTGAGGCTTGACAATATTCAGATCTCGTTCAGATAGGCTTGGCGATGATCTGCCCACGTGTTTGTGTGACGCACGTCCTCTGGCGTTCAAGGTACTTCCTATCCTCGCCTCCTCCCCGATCACCAACTGTCACAATACCTGGATCAGACACCGTTAGGAGACTCTGCTGCATACAATCTATTTGAGACCCCGCCATCAGAAAGATCCAAGCTACGAGCGAGCCTATCATCCCAAAGTAGTGACTATCAGGACGCCAATCAGCACCGTTGATAGACATAGACGAACCACCACCTCAATAGGCAAAAGTCATGGCGATAAGGAGCATGGACCTCCGTGGCCTGCACTCGCCATTGGTAGAGTCCTGTGCGAGATTGGGTAATCCTATCTGGATTCGTCCTCGAAGACGCAATGTGGAGCCGACCTGGTCGGTTAAGCCGAGCACCACATCCCGTGCGCGAATCACAACGGGAGTCTCAAGCATACCACCTGGGCAATAATCCGGGGTCCATATTGACAGCCGAGGGCTAGGGACCTAGCTGGGGCTTGGTGCGGGTTTTCCCCATGGGGTATGCCACATGGGGTATAAGTGTCTCGATATGTCCCTCCCCACCCTTGCTCTTCTGTCTGGGTTCTCAAGTCTTGGGCTCTGAAACTCACGGTTCGTCAAGTACTGCGTGGATTAACGCACACATATACCACCATGACAACGAAACTCGATCCGAAGGTTGGTGCCCTGGATGAGGCTTGGCGAGGTGACAGGGCGATTGACACTGACATGCTCCTCTTCTCGTAGCTTTACCCCCGTCGGGTCCGATATGCAGCCCTCTTGACGGTCAATATTTTTGTGTTTATGGGGAACATGTACTCAGTAAGACATTCATTGTTCTCATCTGTCGCATCACTGAGGGGAGATTCTGACATCGAGAAAGTCCGGCATAGCAACGGGTTTCGAGTCACTGGCCATGGATTTGCAAGTCAGCTACCAAAAGCTCGCCGACCTTATCTCATGGTCCGTCCTCAGCATGGGCCTCGCCAATCTCTTCTGGATGCCATTGGCGTTGGCGTTTGGCAAGCGGCCCATAGTCCTTATCTCCATGACGATGTTCGTGGCGGGGATCATCTGGACAGTCGTTGCGAAGGATTACAACAGTCTGATGGGCGCTAGGGTGTTTGCCAGTTTTGGTGGGTTGCATAACATGCAGGGCGGTGCTCATTCTCTCCACACAGACACTAACATCGGTCAAAGGCTATGGTTCGATTGAATCGTTGGGTCCCAGTATTCTAGCCGGTATGCTCTCTCTGTCTCAGCTTCGCAGCTTGTACACCAGATTGCTGACCAGAACAGACATGTTCTACGAGCGCAACTACTCAAGCGCAATGGCCATGTACGCCCTGTTCCTCTCCGCCGGATCCCAGGTCGGACCCGTGATTGCGGGCTACCTGGTAGCCGCACGCGGCTGGCGGTGGTTCTTCATCGTGTGCCTGATCGTGGCGGCCGTCAACCTGGTCACGACCTTCTTCTTCCTTCCGGAGACTACGTACGAGCCCGAGTTCGAAGAGGAGCAAGACGGGGGTGAGTTTCCCGAAAAGAGCGATGCCGCCCACAGCCACATCGAGAGTCTCCCGCCTTCTCAGAACCAAGCTCAACACTTCTCCTACACGGACTACTGGAAGGGTCTCTTCCAGGTGGGCATCTCAAGCGAGGCGAAGAAGAAAGGCGTGCTCCGATTCCTGGGGTACGCAGCCTGGCTCCCGATTCCGATGCTGCTACTACCGGGGGTATTGCTGGCATCGATGATGTATGGAGTTGTACTCGGGGCGTGAGTTTCCCTTTCCCTTCCCTTTCTTCACATCCTCTCCACCCATCCACTAACCTCAAGAAAAGAGTGGTCTCAATCTCCACCCTCGCCTCCTCAATCTTCAGCCCCCCGCCCTACCTCTTCACCTCAGGCGCCCTAGGCCTCTGGACACTGGGCAGCTTCATCGGGATCGTAGTCGTCGCGCCACTCGCCGGCCCACTCACCGACGCCCTGTCGCAATTCCTGCGCCGCCGGAACCACAACGTCCACAAGCCCGAGCACCGGCTGCCGGCGCTGGTCGTGCCCTTCTGCATCGCGCCCGTCGGCCTCGTCGTCTTCGGGTACACGGCCGCCCACCAGATGCACTACGCGCTGCCGGCGCTGGGCTCCGCCATGGCCGCCGCGGGCCTCACGCTCGTCCCCTCGGTCATGCTGTCGTACGTGGTCGACTCGTACCCGCACGCCAGCGGCGAGGCTCTCGTGCTGGTCAACGTGAGCAAGAACGTCGTCGCGTTCGGGCTGAGTAAGGGCTCCGTCGACTGGATGACGCGCCAGGGGTTGGCGCGGATGTTCTACGAGTTTGCGGGGATTGAGTGGGCCGTGCTGGCGCTGGGGTTGCCGTTGTATTTCGCGGGGCCCTGGGTGAGGAAGCGCACGGGGAGGTATTTTTGATTCGATCGGGTTCGGTCCGGTTCTGCATAGTCTAGATGGGTGAATTATCATGGGTAATTGGGATCTCTTTTTTTTGGAGTCTTTAAAGCGAAAGTGAAATGGTAGCTGTGATTGCTAGTGCTGTATGATCTTTGCTAGGACGGCATGTGGATTGATGAATGCTGTTGAAATTTGGGAGTTTCATACAATTTCACATTCACTGCACGAACAATGCTGACTTTTTCAGCTCTGCCAACATCTCATAAACGTAGTATAGCCATTACCGTAGCTATAAGCCCCTAAAAAGAGCACAGCCCCATCAACCCCCTCACCATCTCCGCCATTACCCCGCTGATCTGCCATCGCGCCACGACCGTCTCCAAACAGATTACCAAGAAGTTCAATTCCTGAAGCAGATGCACCGCTATGCCTGAGCCGTCAGCATCATCAAGGAAACGATGCTCCATCTCCTCCTCTACTGCTGCGGGTCTTTCCGTGCAGTCACTCCCACGTCCATCACCGTCACCTTCCGCTGGCCCAGATGGACAAACCCCCAGAACCTCAGCCCAGTTCCACCCATCCAGGACATCTTGCTCGTCTGCGGCGAGGAATATCTTCTTCTTTTTGCGGGAAAGACACCATCCGGCTATCGTTACTGCGGTGGCGAAGATGGCGGCGGGGATGTGCGGGCTATGGGCTTGGTGGAAGGGAAGGCGATTGAGGAGGCGGGTTATGGTTAGGGCGTTGAGGAGGGCGCGGAGCGGTGGGGAAGTTTCGGTGATGGGGACTAAAGGTGGTGGCTGTTGCTGGTGGTGGTTTTGGTGGGCTGAGGTTGGTGGATCTGTCAACGGGTTTGCTGTTCCTCGGACTGTGAAGTTGGTACTGGTGCTAGCTGCGGCTTTGGACTGGTGGTCTTCTATCCCACGAGGAAGGTGAGGGTATCTCTGGCAGAGGGATCCATAGAATCTAGCCGTGGGTAGTGCAAGTTCAAGACAGACGGTATGCCACCTGATGAGGAGTTGAATTGAGTCCCCTGGTTTATGTGGCGGGAGGCAGGATGACGATGGGTTGGATGGGGAGGACAACAACCCCGAACGGTGACGGAGATGAACCTCGTAAATGTTCAAGAGCGCTTGAAGGATCTGGCGCTCGGTAATCGCCCCAATTGCCGGCTTGCCTTTCCCGATTTCATGGAGATCAGACACTAAGCTCTGAAAGCCTTCGAGGATTACATGGATCGAAAAGTCGGATAGATTGAGAGGATGAGATGGGTACGTCGAGGCAAAGATTGAGAAGTAGACCTCGCTAAAAGGCATATCATGGAGGGATGACGCCGGTTGCTGTAGCCGGTCGAGCCAGTCGCTTGCTGTCTGGGCTTGGAAGACGTCATCGGAGCCGGCCGTGCGCAAAGAGTTGATGAGGTGGCGGGCGGAGGCTGGGGCGCCGGATGTCTGAGAGATCAATCCGTCCAGAATGTAATGGCCTAGGATGGCCCGTTTCTGGGTCTCCACAGTCGTCCAGCGGTGCCAGTGCGCTTGTAGTTCTTGCGGAGGGCAAGGCATCGTAGGCGGGGTTTGGAGCTCGGCGACAGCATACATCCCGCACATACGAGCCCAGTAAAAGCCGAGCCCGTGCCAGACAAAGGCGGTGGTTCGAATGCTTTCATTACTCGAGAGCAGAGCAAACAGTTGACCCAACAGCGCGGTAAGAACGAGTTGCACCCCGTCGCATGCGTCGCGCGGTCCCCGATGGGTGATGAGCGTTTGCCAGGAGGTAGCCACGGCGGAGTGGCCGAGACGCCATAGCATTTCGCCCTTGCGTGCTGAGTCAGGTAGGCATACGAACAGAGAGCCCAGGGCTACCATGTTGAGAAGAAGCGGAGGAATGGTCTCACGGGGTACGAAGGTAGGCCTGTGAATGACTGGGAAACAGGGAGAGATGTGATTGAAGAATTCCTGGAGGCAGCCGTCTAGGAAGCTGGATGTGGTGCCCGAGTTGTGCAATTCGGCATTCAGCCGCTTGGAGAGATCCTCGATCAGTCGATAGCTTTGTTGCATGGCTGCTTTACCAGCCCCAGTTTCATGCCCGGCTATTGATTCGTCGAGAGGCAAAAGTCCTGTTCCATGGAGTGATTGTAACTGCATTGGGTCTAAAGTCTCGAGTACAGGGAGGGACGAGAAACCCCAGAAGTCAGGAATGAACCAGTCTAATGTATTGGAGTCCAGTGTAGTGTGTTGATCTTCTGAGAAGGGGGCTTCGAACGGTGGTATGGTGAGAACGTCCTGTGTTGAGGCATCGAAGCATGTCTGGAAAGCTTCATCGCCTTGGTTGTCTTTTGGCTGGCTAGCTTTGTCTCGTGAACGAGAATGAAGTCTCTTGTGTCGTCCAAGGACGTCACCTCGCCCAAAGCTTCTTCCACACTCTTCGCACTGAAATGGTCTGGTGTTGGAGTCTAGAATCCCGTTAGCATCGACTTC